GGGGGGGGGGTGGGAAGGGGGGGATGGGGACACTATGGGGGTGCATTGATGGGGAAATGATGGAGACACGATGGGGACACGATGGAGACTCACATCATGGGGACACGGGGGGGACGTTTTGGGGATGCGAGGGGGACGCAGTGGCGTCTATGGGATTCTATGGGGTTGTGCTGATGAGGACGTGATGGGGACACCACAGAGTCACGATGGGATGCGATGAGGACATGGCTGGCACACAGGGCACTGCCTGCCCCCTTCCCCAGGAAAACCACAGCTTCTCCTCCCCCCACCCATGCGTGCCGTGCAGCAGCAGCAGCTCAGGGGGAAGGAACTCAGTGTGGCCCCACAGCTTCCCCTTTCCTCAGCACCTCTTTTGCAACTGGTGCCACCAGGATGGGAGCAGCACCCGGTGCTGGGGGTCTCATCCCATTGGGTCCTATAGGGTTCCATCCTGTCAGGTTCTATAGGGTTATGTCCTGTCCCACCAGGTCCTATAGGTCCCATCCTACTGCGGCCTTTAAGGTTCCATCTCGTCCTGTCAGGTCCCACTGCATCCTACAGGGTTCTGTCTTGTCCCATCAGGTCCTATAGAGTCTCATCCCATTCCACTGGGTCTAATAGGGCTTTGTCTCATCCCACTGGTTTCTATTAGATCCTGGCCTATTCCATTGGGTCCTGTAGGGTCCCATCCCATCCCACTGGGTCCTATAGTGTTCCATCCTATAGGCCCTGCCCCATTGGTCCTATAAGGTCCCGCCTCATCCCACCAGGTCCTGTAGGATTCTATCCCATCCCATCAGGTCCTATAGGGTCCCATTCCATCCCACTGGGTCCTTTAGGGTCCCATCTCATCAGGTCCTACAGGGTTCTGTCCTGTCCCATTGGGTCCTATAGATCCCATCCCATCCCATTGGGTTCTATAGGGTCCTGCCCCATCAGGTCCTGTAGGGTTCTGTCCTATCGGGTCTTACAGGTCCTGTCCCAACCCATTGGGTCCTAGGAGGTCACATCCCATCCCACTGGGTCCTATAGGTCCTGTCTCATTTGGTCCCATCAAATCCTATGGGATCCCATCCCGTCAGGTCCTACAGGTTTCCATCCCATCCCATCGGGTCCTATTGGGTTCTGTCCCGTCCCATCAGGTCCTGCAGGGTTCCATCCTATTCCATCAGATCCTATACAGTCCCACACCATCACACTGGGTCCTAAAGGACCATCAGGGCCCACGGGTCCCATCCCACCGGCTCCTATAGGCTTCCATCCCATCCATCGGCTCCTATAGGGTTCTGCCCACCCCGTCGGATCCCATAGGTCCCATCCCGTCCCCACGCGGCCGCGCTGAGTCACACCGGGACAGGCGGAAGCGGTGCTGGTGCCCGGGGCGGGACGGGGCGGAGCTGGGAGGGGGGAACCGAACCCAAAGAGCAGAGCCGGTACTGAGCGGGGCCGGTTCGGCGGTGGGGAGCGGGGCAGCGCGGGGAGCGGGATCTGCTGTGCGGGGCGGGGTGCGGGGCTGTGCTGATGCGGGGTGCGGGGCTCTGTGGGTGCACGGTGCGGGCTTTTCCTGGTGCTGGATTTGGGACTTAGTGCAGGGTTTGAGTTCTCCCCGTGCGGGCTTGGAGCTGCCCTGGTGCGGGATTTGGGGCTGTGCCGGTGTTCGGGTTCTCCTGGTGTACAGTTGGAGTTCTCCCAGCTCAGTTTTTGCCTTCTCCTGGTAAAGAATTGGAGCCTTCCTAGCGCTGGGCTTGGTGCACGGTTCGAGTTCTCCCCGTGCAGGATTTGGGCTCTCCTGGTGTGGGGTTGAGGCTTTCTCGCTGCAGGGTTTGGTGCTTTCTCAGCGCGGCTCTGGGGTTCTCTTGGTGCAGGATTCAGAGCCCCGTGGTGCAGGATTTGGGGCTCCCCCGGTGCGAGGTTCGGCCTCTCCTCATTGCAGGGTTCGGCGTTTTCTCACCGTGCCCTTGGGTTTCTCTCGGTGCAGATTCGGCGCTCTCCCTGCGCGCAGATCTCGGTGCTCCGCATCACCCCGACTCCTCACATCCCATGGCAGCCCCTGGAGCCGGCAGCTGCTGGCAGGATCCTCTGGCGGTGGAGGGCACGACGTGCCGCCCGGTGTGCGGGACGCGGGGCGGGCGGGCGCTGAGCGCGGTGTTCGTGCCGAGCTGCCGGTCGGCTCCGTGCCCGGCGCTGCGCTCCCTGCGGGCCGCCTGCCGCCAGCTGCGGGGCCGGCTGCGCACCGTGCCGTTCGGCCGCCTGGCGCTGGGGGACACCGCAGCCCTGGATCTCTTCTATAACGCAGGTGAGGAGAAAACTCCCCGCCCGGAGGGTGCCTCTGTTTCCCCGCTCGGGGCGGTGCTTGGTGCCGTCCTGCTGAGGACGGGCTGAGGGAGCTGGGCTTGTTCAGCATGGAGAACAGAAGGCTGTGGGTGACCTCATTGCAGCCTGCAGTACCTAAAGGGAGCCTAAAACAGGAGGGGAATCAACTCTTGGAAAGGGGGGATAACAGCAGGACAAGGGGAAATGGTTTGAAGTTGAGGGAGGGCGGATTGAGGTTGGATGTCAGGGGGAAGTTCTTTGCCATGAGAGTGGTGAGGTGCTGGAACAGCTGCCCAGAGAGGCTGTGATGCCCCGTCCATCCCTGGAGGTGTTCAAGGCCAGGTTGGATGGGGCCCTGGGCAGCCTGGGCTGCTGTGAAATGGGGAGGTTGGTGGCCCTGTGTGTAGCAGGGGGTTGGAGCTCAGTGATCCTCGAGGTCCCTTCCAACCCGGGCCATTCTGTGATTCTGTCCTGCCCGCCAGATGTGGCCGTGGTGGAGCTCAGTGATGCCGCCTGCCAGCCCTCGCTCTTCTACCACCTGGGGGTCCGGGAGAGTTTCGATATGTCCCACAACGTGCTGCTCTGCTGCCGCTCTGTGCTGCCCGCCCTGCGGGCCCTGCAGGTGAGCGGGGACCAGTGAGCAAATACCTGGGTGGGGGTTCGGGGGGGGGGGGGCGTCTCAGTGCTATCGCCATCCATCCCCACCCTGAGCCTGCGTGGGTTCCCGTGGTTGCCCCCCATCAGGTGCCCAAAGGGGATGAGGAGGGGGTGATGCCTGTGTGTCCCAGAGCCCGAATCCAGGAAAATTCAGCTTGTTTTCCTGGGAAACACCAAACCAATGGGAGCAGCGGGAGGGGAGCGCATCTAAATTGTCCCCAAACGTCACTGTGACACGAGGGAGCACAAGGGCACCCGTTCAGAGCCCCTTTTTCACAGGGTGGGGTGGCAGGGCCGTCTGTGGCCCTGCCTGGGGTTGGGGCCATCTCCGGGTGACTTTGACCCCGGATCCTGAGATCAGCTGATTTCTTTTGTGCCAGAACTCCTCATTAAGTCCCTCCTCCCTCCTCCCTCCCTCTCCAGGAGGACATCTGCCAGAAGAACTCGGTACGGTTCTCCGCTGCTCTCACAGCTGCCATAATGCTGGGGGGGGAGGTTGAGCTCCCCCAGCTTCGGAGGAGTGGGCAGCGCATGTGGGGAGCGAGACCCCCAACCCCAGATGCTGAGTTACGGGGAGGGGTGGCTCAGAGCAGCACCAGGAAGCACAAGGATGGTTTGGGAGCAACCCCAGAAAACCAACGGGGCCGTTCACTCTGGAGCATAACGATGGCAGTGGGGCCCAAAACCCGAATTATGGGGGGTGGGGGGTGAACAGGGACGGCGTTGCCACTCAGCCCTGTCTCCCCTCACCCCATCCAGGACCTGTGTGGCAGTTACACCTTCATCCCCTACACGGTGACGGCCCACGGAGAGGTGCTGTGCTGTGACAGCAGTTCTGAGCAGTGCCCCGCTGAGCTCCCCCAGCCCGGCTGCGGCACGGAGCCCTGCACCCCGCTGACAGCACGGCTCATCCAGCTGCTGGAGGCCATCCCCACCAACTCCTGGTACCAGCAGCCACCCCTGTTGTGCACTCAGAGGAGGGCAGGCAGCCACGTGCCATAGCACCGCTCAGCCCCACATCTCCGCCCCCCAACAGCGGGTATTTTCGGGACACCCTCCGACGTGACATCCGCCGGGTGCGGGAGCTGTTCCGGGGCGAGCAGCTGAGCCGTGAGCTGAGGAGCATCCAGCAGCGCCTGGACAGCGTGGAGCTGCTCAGCCTGGACATCGTGGTCAGCCTGCTGCTGTCCTACCGCGATGCGCAGGTGGGCGCTGCGCCGCCATCCCCGCTCCTCGTCAGCCCCCGTCGGCCCCACAGCCCCCAAACCGTGGATGAACCGAGGGAGGTTCACCCTGGCTCAGCCTTTGGAGGCGTCCCCGCAGGATTACGACTCCATCATCTCTCTGGTGGACGCCCTGCACTCCCTGCCTACCTGCGACGTGGCCGAGCAGCCCAACGTTTGCTTCCATTACGCCTTCGCCCTCAGTCGGTGAGTGGTGGTCCGGCGTCCCCTCGGGGCGGGGGGCCGTGGCCCTGTTGCTGAGCACCATACGCAGGAGGAACCGTGCTGGAGACCGCGAGAAGGCTCTGTCAGTGCTGCTGCCTGCCGTGCAGCACCGGGACACGGCGGCACCCGACCTGCTCTGCCTCTGCGGCCGCATCTACAAAGATATGTTCATCAGCTCTGGCCTCACTGACACGGAGACGCGGGACCGAGCGCTGTACTGGTGAGGCTGGGATGGAGCTGGGGATGCACCCAGGGCCGGGACCCCGTGGGGTGTGCGTAGGTTCCCATTCAGATCCCCCAAGAAGCCAGCTCCTGCAGGGCCTCGGCTCTCCCTCCCCTTGCACACGCTCAGTGCACAGTGAGTGGAAGCTCTTAGAGGTCTTTTCCAACCCTCACTGCTCTGTCGTTCTATCTCGGGAGCCCCACGTCACACAGAAGGGTTTGCCTGGGAGGCAGGAGATGCTGTCCCCGTGGCCCTGTTGGGATGACGCTTTCTGCTCAGGTACAGCAAAGCCTTCGAGCTGGAGCCCAGCCTCCACGCGGGCATCAACGCTGCCGTCCTCCTCGTCGCCTCCGGCCATCGCTTCGACACCTCGCTGCGGCTGCAGCAGATCGGTGCGCCCCGTCCTGCACTGGGACCCCGCAGGGGGCTGCTGCCGTCGGGGGCTGAGCCCTGATGGGTCGCAATCCCACATCCAGGCGTGAAGCTGAGCTGCCTGCAGGGCCGTAAGGGCAGCCTGGAGGAGCTGCGGCACTACTGGGATGTGGGCTTCTGCCTGGGGGCCGGAATCTTGGCCAACGACCTGGGCAAAGTCATCCAGGCCTCTGAGAAGCTCTACAAGCTCAACGCGCCGGGATGGTGAGCGCCGGCTGTGCACAGCCACCCACAGCCACCCTCTGCAGTCTGTACGCACCGTGGGACGTCCCCACCTGCAATGCCTGCCATGCAGGTACCTGGTGTCCTTCATGGAGACGTTCCTGCTCTACAAACACTTCCAGCAGAGCCCAGCGCTGCCATCCGCCCGGCAGGAGCTGGCTGACTTCTGGCTGGGCTTCCTGCTCACCTCCTGCCAGCCCTTCGTGCCTGAGCCGCGAGGCCCAGTGGGGAGCAGCCCTGGGGACCCGGGGACAGATGAGGGGACACGGGGTGACCACGTGTGGTGGCTGCAGGTCCTCGTCCTGGAGCACGGCAAGGTGCTGCAGCCGGCACGGCTGGCGCTGCGCAGTGCGGCGGAGGAGCCCGCTGTGATGCTCAGCCTCGTGTGCCCCACAGAAGAGGTAGGGCCAGGCCTGGGGTCCTGGGGGTGTCCCCTGGCTGTCTCCCACCCAGCCCTTCTCCTCCTTCCTGCAGAAAGCAGTGTCGAGCTGGAAGTTCCCACCCGCAGCCATCCGGGGCGTCAGGTGAGAGTGTCCACAATTCCCCCTGCCCTGGGGGCTGCACCCCAGCCCCACTGCTTATGGGGGGGTGGTGGGGGGCTCTTTTCCTCACAGCATCTGCAAGAGCGACGAGCGGGGCTGCTTTCTCTACGTGGTTCACACTGAGCACTTCCAGCTGTACTTCCCCTCCCAGCAGCACTGCCAGTGGTGAGCAATGGGGACCCCACGTTGCTTCTGGGGAGGACCCCCAAACACCCCCCATGGGAGCAGCAGATCGTGTCCTAGGGAGGAAAGGGGACAAACCAAAGGGGTTTCAGCCCTTGTGCCGGTGGGGGGGGGGTGGGAGGTGTCACTGGGACTCAGCAGCATCCCCTCTCCTCGCACAGGTTCTGTGAGCAGGTCCAATCCTTCCTGGCGGAGCAGGGCAGTGAGGAGCTGCTCGGCAGCACGCAGCCCATCCTGGAGGTGAGGGGAGCACAGCGGGTGGCGGGGGGGCGCCAGGCGTTCCTGCTGCTACCCCACGTGCCCCCCTGCAGTACAGCTATGAGTGCACCGAGTCGGGTGAGCGCGTGGTCCTGGGCAGGGGCACTTATGGGGTCGTCTACGCCGGGCGCTGCCTCGGCACCCAAGTGAGGATCGCCATCAAGGAGATCCCGGAGCGGGACAGCCGGTGGGTCCAACGGTGCCGGGGTGGGGGGGTTGGGGGTCTCTGTGCAGCCCATCACTCTGCTGCCCACCATGCAGCTGCTCACAGCCCTTGCACGAGGAGCTGGCCTTGCACAAGCGCCTGCGGCACAGGAACATCGTGCGGTACCTGGGCTCCGTCAGCCAGGATGGCTTCATCAAGATCTTCATGGAGGAGGTGCCGGGAGGTGGGCAGCGCTGCGAGGCTGGGGGTGGGGGGAGTTGGGGACCCATAGGGTGAATGTGGGTGCTGCCCCCTCCCCAGGGAGCCTCTCGTCCCTGCTGCGCTCCAAGTGGGGTCCCCTGAAGGACAACGAGCCCACCATCATCTTCTACACCCGCCAGATCCTCAACGGGCTCAGTTACCTCCACGACAACCACATCGTGCACCGGGACATCAAGGTGGGGGGTGGGGGGCTGCCCTCCGTGCCCAGCCCCACTTGGGGGATGCACAGCTCGAGGCTGTGGGGCTTTGTTATGGGGTTGCAGGGTGACAACGTCCTCATCAACACATACAGCGGCGTGCTGAAGATCTCCGACTTCGGCACCTCCAAGCGGCTGGCGGGCATCAGCCCCAGTGCTGGCAGCTTCACGGGTAGGGGCAGCCTTGGAGGGGGGGGGAGAGGGGCTATGGGGCACCTGGGTGACGAATAGGGGCTTCGCTCCTCCCACCACCTCCCCCAGGCACCCTGCAGTACATGGCCCCCGAAATCATCGACCGAGGGCCGTGGGGCTACGGGAAGCCGGCAGATATCTGGTCCTTGGGCTGCACCGTCATCGAGATGGCCACGGGCAGACCGCCCTTCTACGAGCTGGGCAGCCCCCAGGCGGCCATGTTCAAGGTACCCACAGGCTGGGGGGGTTTGGGGGGGGGGTCCCTGAAATGCCTTCCCTCGTGTGGCCGTCCCTGTGCAGCCATTCCTGCAGGTGGGCATGTTCAAGGCACACCCGGAGGTGCCCGGCTCCATGTCGGACGAGGCCAAGGCTTTCATCCTGCGCTGCTTCGAGGCTGACCCGGCCCTGAGGGCGACGGCATCCGCGCTGCTGCAGGACCCGTTCCTGGCTGGTGCCAGGCGTCCCCGCAGCCAGAGGGCGCCCACAGCGAGAGGTGAGTGGGGGGGGCTGGGGGGTCCCAGCACGGCTGCCCTCTGACCTTCCCCCCCTCCATCCTCCCCCTGGCAGGCGGTTCACCTCGCGATGGGGACGCGGTGGGGACTGACAGCGCTGAGGGACGTCCAGCCTTTGGGGACGGGGTGGGGGGCACCGCGGGCAGCACCCCGCTCCCACAGCGCCACGGCGAGGCAGCGCCGGGTCACAGGTATGTGGGGTGGTGGCATCCCAGGGTCCCACGGGGTTGGATTTTGGTCTCCCGCTGGTGAGTGGACATCAGAGGCCCCCGCACAGCGCTGGTGGCACAGCTGTCCCTTGTTACAGACTGTGGGGGCACGAAATGCTGCTGGGTCACTGATGTGGGGCTCAACACCCCCCGTAGCCCCATAACCCCGTAACAGCTCCAGTGCTTTTGGGAAGGCTGAGCTGGTGTGGCTCCCATCACTTTCAGTCTTTCCCTCATCCCCTCCTGTGCTGGAAATGGCTTGGGTGGCTTCCCAGGGTATCAGCAGGGCTCCACGATGCCACGTGTGCCATGGGCAGCCCCGACCCACCGTGCCCCACACTGCCCCACAGCAGCACCAGCTCCGACCTCACCCTGCGCTCATCCTCACCCGAGGAGAGCGGGGACAGCTTCGTGCTGCAGGACATCCAGCACCGCGCCACCCTGCTGTGCATCCTGAGAGCCGAGGCGCCGGGCATCACTGCTGCCCTGCAGGAGAGCCAGGTGGGGTGCGGGGCCGGCGGCAGGCAGTGGGGGTGGGATGGAGCCCATCTCAGGGCTTCTCTCGCCCGTGCAGAGCGCGGTGGGACCAAGGCTGAGCTCGGAGCACATCGCCCAGCTGCTGAGCTGCCTGCAGAGCTACATCCAGAGCCCCCAGCAGCCCCGGCTGCGCCGCGACCTCCTGCAGCTGCAGGCAAGGCTGAGGGAGGATGGGATCGGTGTGCGGCGACTGCAGGCACCGCTGCTCCACTTCCAGGCTGTGGTGAGAGGCTGGGATACGGCGTGGGGATGGGGCTGCTCCTGCATGGTGCTGCTCCAGCATGCTGACACTGTTGCTCCAGCACAGTGTTGCACAGCGCCATTCTGGCACGGCGTTGCACACACACGTTGATGCTACAGAACTGTGTCACCGGCACGGTGCTGCTCTGGCACAGTGTTGTTCCTACATGGTGCTGCT